ATCTGTGTATTTGGCGCGCCTTTCCCCCGAAAACGACAGTGTTCTGAGAGGGCATTTTTAAACGACTGTAGCTCCAAAACGGCTGGGAATTGGCTAAAAATTACCACAAAATCGAAATCTAAACGCATGATTGCACCCTATATCTAAATGTCGATATAGGTTTTCCTAAATGTAGACCTCTTATGCCTCTCTAGATTCTGGCCCAATGTTCAATGTCGCCTACAATAGTGGCTGGATGAGGCTACATGCCCCTAGCCCACTACAGTCCCTCTTCTTAAAGACTCATCCAGCCACGTGGTATGATCTTCTCCTTGGTCTCGCACTTTCATGTTCACGCACTCGCGCTTCTACATGTAGACACTGTCATGCTCTTGACCTCTAGTGGCAGGCACACACGCACCTCCACAGCATCCACTCCCCAGGGTGAGATGCTCAGGTGTCAGGAACTCTCTGACACCACGTACCTTGCAATTGACGCCTCCGAGCTTGATGATCAAATGCCTGGCACACTCGCGCCCAAGCACCGACACGACCCGACGTTGGCATCCACCCGAGTATGACGCTCCAGCATCCGGCACACTCGCGCCTTCCCGACGCTGTTTCCTCGACGGCATCCACGATGTTCCGGTGTCGGCACACTCGCGCTTCTCAACCATCACGCCTCAGATGCCCGCCGATTCTTGCGCTTCCCTGGGCTTGTTGTTTGAGTCCCGACGAGCGCGTTGGACGCCTTCACGTACTTGACCTTGGCATCCCCGTCCTCGGCTTCCAACGCTCCAGCGTCCTTGTACTCACGCCGTCGGACTCACGTTCTTGGGTCCAAGACGATTGCGCCCTCCGACACCTTAGACACCTCGACGCACTCGGACTCAGCATCCTCAGTGTCCGGAACGCTCACGCCCTCCGACCCCATGACGTTGGCACCACCTTCGTCGTCCGCCGCACGCCATCTTGGATCTTGAACCTCTTCACTGACCCGGGCACTAAAGTTAACTTTGTAGTAGGTCGTGGAAGTAACACACAACTGGGGGAGCTGGCACTCCCTAAAGCTTCTGCCTAGTGTATTGCTCTCCCCTAAGCAAGTTCTAGACTGACTAACTGACTCTTTGTCTGTACTCTATGTATACATACTATGTATACTTGGCAATACATACCCTGTATATATTGCCAGCTCGGGCCGGCAATACTGAACTTCAATCATCACTCGATGGTTGGCAGCAGCAACCCTGCCACTGCCAATCCGAAAATCAGTACTGCCGCCCACTGTAGTGGCTGGATGAGGCTACATGCCCCTAGCCCACTACAATTGTCTAGTGACGTATGGGTGTGCTCTGATAAGTTGAAACAATACTCTGGCTGATTTCCTAATTACTTCATGACACTTGTCTGTGATTGGTGAAGAGTCAGTGTCGGAACTGACAATGTGTAGAATATTATGCGGTATTTGTGGACAAAGTAAAGTTGGTCTTCTTCTGCCAAGCGGTCACGTAGGCGCCGACATTTTGAGTGGTGCTGATATTACTAATACCTACTCACTGAAAAGTCGGGGACACGCAAGAGACCACGTGAGCCCAGGGATCGTTATTAATAATTTTGGACGTTCCTCCTCAGAGAAACCTGTCACAATCTTTACGCCATTCTGGTTTACGACCGTCAACTAGCGGTCTGGGCGTCCGCTCCGCGGACGCTAGGGCATGGTTGGCTGGTGTAGTGTGGGCTGACCGCCTCCGCTGCGCTGCGGTGGGCTTAGAATTTCTACTCGAAGCGAAGCAACATATAGTACATGTATACTGTGATCTACGTATATTATGCTCCAAAACAGCACCGCACACAGTATCCGTAGTGCTCACATGTTATTGTAGACATGACCAGGGTTTAACGTGATCTGCAAGAAGAGCACCGTCTTATCCTGGAAGCTTTTGTCTATAATCTCGTTTGAGCGCATTGCTCCCAAAATGACACGAATCGGAGGCGCGCGTGGTTGCAAAGCTAATATATACTGTACGGAAGACGGGTCAGTATCAATGATGCTACGAAATATACGTTGATCGGTGAGGAATCCCAGTGTAGCTAGAGTAAGTACGCCTACTCAAACGTATTTTACCCATCTGCACGTCATCGCCGTGAGGCAGTCGACACATATCACCGATTGCGACGGTCGAATAGAGCAATGTTAATCAGCTCCGCGCGCGAAGTATCTTTTAGGATAGGTAGTATATGCCGATGGTCGCCACAAACATCAATATTATGCGTTGAAATTATTCTGCTGAGCTGTTTGTGATGTAACTGAAGGGTATTTCCACTATCTTCCGCATGCATTTATCTTACTTGCATAGCTGACGTACTTTCTGACTTATTTGTATAGCTTCTGACTGACAGAGTGGCGTAAATCCTTTCCGACTGACATTATACTGAGTCCGATATGTACGACAAAAGGCCTCGTCCACATCGGACGAAGAAGCACCACTGCGTGCACATTCTTTTGACCGGCTGCAACATACGAAGATATATGGCTGTAGGCAGAGTATCAGATCGTAGTGATGGTTAGACTTGAATTGAATAATAGTTCATGTACATTAGATGGAGTACTTTCGCTGCCTACTTATCAGCTCGGCGTGCTATTTGATGTGTCCGTGCATATATCGCGAGGCCGTTAATGAGTGCATTTGCCACGCGCTCGTGATATTACCAACCTATGCATGGGGTCTCTGTTTCCTTATCGGGACGTTTGCGTCTTCGTGCTAGCTTTCTGTGCTTACGCTTTGATGTTTAGTCTGTATGATCAAGCGCGTCACTAACTGGGCACAGGCTATTCCGCAGCGATACAGGTATGCTGAACGCGCGTCTGCTAGCAGTAGCCAACGCGATATATACGCGCGAGGCGGGCACACCTTATAACTACCCGCGACTGAGCCGAGATCTTATCTTGACTATTATGGACAGGGCACTAAAGTATAGTACTGCGTACAGACAGTTCGACTTACCACACACACCGGTATTGTTTGCGCTACCACACACGTGCTCGTATCTATGTAGACAGCAACTTAATCGTCGCGTGTAGTGCTCAATCGATGCTGTAGTATCAGTTTGTAAGCGCATATTAATGGAACATACGCTGTGAGCGCTGATGTCACAGATAGCATGGTTTGCATGTATCCAAGTGAGCGAGTGTACTCTCGATCTATTGTTACGCGGAAGCAGATAGGGACGGTCAGCTTGCAAGGGTATGCAGCAGACACCATGCGCTAATTATTATTTGAAACGCGCTACCCTCTGTAGGTGCGTCAACACTATTGGTAGCGCCATATTCAGTTACCGTATGTGCGGCTCCAAGCCTCGTACCGTCAACCAGTATACTAAATACAAATATAGGTAGGAAAATGGGGGCCTAAAAGGGTATATTTACCAATTACTTGCTCTTCTGTTGCTTCTTTTGCTCGATGTACTTGGCGTTTCGGGCGGTCAGCTTGCGAGGGCGGCTGTGCCTCTTTTTCTTCTTGGGGTACCAGTCAGGACCCATCGCCTTCTTGACGTTCGCAAGGCTTTCCTGGTGGCGCACTTCGGCCGAATCAGGTGGGGGGGGGGGGTCCTCCCAGAACTCAGCCGTTTTTGGGCCGTTCTCGCAGGCAATACAGCGCCGCACGATGTCCCGCCCGCTGATTGTACGGAGTGCGTAGCCGTACTGTAGCTTCCCGCAGCAGACGCAGCGCGCCCGGGCATCCGTCGTAGACCGCTGCCGGTTCTGCAGAAGCGGGTCAATCTTCGCCTCGCATTGCTTGCACGTAGGGCCCACCATTTTGCAAGCTGTGAGTATGTTAGCAAAATATATTGTTTTAACCAATTACTTTCGCCCAAATATTAACCAATAGCACGGTAATAAAAGGCTGATATTTATTATTAAGCAAAATAGTACAATGTTATATATTATTAATATTTGGCTTATCTTTAATATAATATTATCAGATTTCCAAACAAATACATACTTTACATGCAATATAAATTGACTAAAACAATTATCTATCGTGCGCGCATGCATTCGTCGAGTGCGGTGCACGGGAGCAGATAGCGCAATGACCGTGCAGCCGCGTGCCTTCGTTGCACGGTGGCAGTGGTGAGTGCCAGGTGAAGTAAAATATATATATATTCGCAGAGTCCCTACAAAAAGCGATGGTCGTGAAGCCTACTTTAATATTAAAAAATACTATCGTCTCTACTATAGAAAGTGTGTGGAAAATAGCATCGCCGAATGCGGCCTGTGAAGCTTATTTTAATAATACTAATACTATTAATATCGTCTTTACTTTGAAAAGTGTGTGGAAAATAACATCGCAGAGCTCTTACAAAATACTGGTCTGTGAAGTCTACATTAATAATAATAAATTTCTCTATTTGAAAAGTGCGCAGAGCGCTTAGAAAATAAAGTGGTTACTGTGCCCGATTTGCAGTACATACGACAGGTTTTGCGCTGCTGAATGCAATAATCAAGTATCTGCTGGCTGTTTGCATCCAATCAATGTGTTTCGTTCGGGGCAGAAATGTTTACCTTACGTCCAATCGCGAGGGCGAGAGGCGGTCTGATCGTGCGACAGATCCAGTCAGTGGCACAGGTCGGCAGGTATTGCCCAATCAGGGCGCGAGTTAATTGCGTCACGCTTTTGGATATATTTGTAATTTTGGCATAGTTAAGTCGAGTCAGAAAAGTAGGCGCGGTCGGTAAGATGGGACGAAAATATATTAGACAGGCCGGGTGTAGCCATGCGAAAAGGCAGGAAAAAGCAGCAAGAAAGGAACCGGACGGACTTATTGACAGACGGACGGACAGGCTGCAAGTTTAGGTGGCGGGAAAAGAATATTTGAAAGAATTTGTAATCACGAGGCGACAGCATTCGTACTGTACTGGTTGGTCGTCAATCGTTTATGGTGATCAACCACCACAGCCAATCATTCCTTCTCACTCCACATTTTGCTCTCCAAAACCCAACGCGTCAAGTCGGTTAACGATGCAAACGATACAATTGATCATTTTCGTCGCTTTCGTTCTAAGCCGCGCTGCTGCCTCGATCTCTTCTTTCTCCGACCCAACAAGCATTGTGAACATCAATCACGATGCTAACCGTCTGTCTCGTGCGCTAGCTGCTGGTCAGAATCAAACTCAGCGATCTCTTCGTCAGCATGAAGGTGAAGACAGAGGGGCCATTGACAAGGCGGACGAGGTCGTATCAAAGATGAAAGCGTTAATGGGAACTGCAAAAAACGTTCCGAACAATCTGGCCGCTTTGATCGCGAAAAGGTCAAAAACCGCTGGAGAATTTGTGAGGCGTCCGTTTCTAGTGAGCAAATTATCCAAGAGATACAACATTGCTGACCAATTAAGCTTCTCGACACTGAAGCAATTGGACAAGATCGACAACATGAGGATCGTGGATATCAAAAATGGTATTAAAGGCAATAAGAAGACCCCAAACGGCATGCGAAGAAAAATCAAGCACTTTGAGGGAATGAAAACGGCTCCTCAAAAGTTTCTAGAATCCCACGTCGGTCGTGACATGCAACGTTATGGAAAGGATGGAAGCCGGTGGCTATCAGCCGGCGTGGTTACGCGGACAACTGATCAAGGCGAGCGTCAGATCTTATTGATATCGAGCTCGAACCCGGCGAGAGGGGACTTTCTGCTTCCTAAGGGAGGCTGGGATAGAGGCGAGAAAATTAAAAAGGCGGCGTTGCGTGAGGTCATGGAAGAAGGAGGAGTATGTCGTGCTCTTTGATAGTTTTTGATCGGTTGTTGATTACTACTAAACCCCACAAATTTGCAGGTCAATGCTCAGCTTGCACACGGTTTGGGTAAGATCAAGTTCTCAGAAGTCAGTGCCAAAGGCAAAGACCCAGTTAAATACAAATACTTCGGCTACCTCATGAGAAGCAGCACTGTCTATGACGATTGGTCCGAGAGCTTTCGTTACCGACTGTGGGTACGTATCGTGACGGGGCTGTACTGATATCCTTCAAAACTAACTGATGAGCCGGAGCCTGCAGGTTTTCCCGCACAGGTACGATGATGCGATTAAAATGCTCGCCGGGCGCCCCCAGATGGTCGAATTGGTGAAGAGAGCTAAGTACGTTGACGACCTAATCGCATCCAGAAAACTGCCCGAGGTCAATCCAAAACTTGCTGAAGTTAAGCTTGACTTGAATTGACATGGAACAAGTCCGTCGTAACAAAAGAGTCGTCAGCATTCGATTGCTTCGATAGCTCACCACCTAGATACGTTAACCTAGCTTTCTACGAAAACGGTTTTGGCTGGATCTGGACATAATAGGTTTAAGCAAATTGAAGACATTTACTGCTTGAAAGTTGTTTATATATTTCGTGAACCACAGAGCATCGTGTACTAACCCTTTCGCGAGCCTCCAGAGTACTTAAATAAGTAAACTATAATACAGTACAGAACTTAGCTATTTGCTATTAAAAGGAGTAGGAGAATTTGGAGTAGACATCTACGCGTCGTGCGGCATGCTGCGATTATTTTTTTTTTTTTCGGAAATATGAGCAGCAAAGTTTGCTGCTACGTCATTTAATGACGTTTCTAGGCTATTTTCGATTTTATGTTTATATCCAGACCGTTTGATTAGAACACAGAATAGCTCGCGACTCCAACGATCCTGAATTTACGATCTACAATCACAATCTAAGGTAGTAAACAATAGCAGACAGCAAGGCGACCAAGCAATATCTCAATTAAAAGTATCGTCAGCTTTCATTCAATACAAGAATGCTCCATGCTCACGTTCCCAGAATGACTTATATAGAGATATGTCTAATCCTTCTGACACGTGCGCCGTACATTACAAAACTTGTTCGCCATTACAAGTAGGGGCGAGCTATACTGGTACGGTACTGGTACTAGTACTGCAGTATTAATTTCGCTTCCAGTAAAACTCTGTTACCTCTACTTCAGCCCCGATTAGTGAAAGTATATGCATTTGAGTATGAATAATTGAATAGACTAATTTGTATCCGCAAGAAGACCAGACGACTTTTGCATGCAATCATTTGGAGTCGTCAAATTTCGAAACACTACTGTACAGCGCGAATACGATAAGCCCCTTGAAAAAAGCATTTTCGTCTCAATCATCGATTTTCTGTTGATGCTATTATATAAATCGAAAACATGCATTCATGCGTATCACAGCCTTCACTCTCGTACTCTCAATATCCGGCGACGTAGCTGTATCCCTTCCAGTCTCGAGGTGCTTCAAAGTTGTTTGCCTTGAGCACCCCCATCAGGTATTTGCAAGGACCGTCCTGAGGTCGGATCTGTTGAGCATGAGTTAGATAGTGACGTGCTTTCGGCCAATCTCCGCTCAAATACGCCTCCACTGCACTGCCTGCCGCTTCAAGGAAAGCTGGTTCTAGACCTTCGCGGATTTCCAGATACTCCGGATCATTTTCAAAGTCCACGGGGGTTTGAAGTCCCGTTGCCGGGTCAATCTTTGGAGTGCCAAACCCGATTTTCATGACAGTGACATCGAACGTGTAGACGGTGAGAGGAGTGTCGACACCTCGGATACTCATGCGGTCCATTTTACGTAAGAACCGGCGAGCTGCAGGTGAGATCAGCGCTGCAAGCCAATGAGAAATGTTGATGGGAGTCATGAACATCTTGGATCCGGCCTCCAATCGATCGGCCATTTCGACGTGTGGAGAAATGTACGTGGCGTCGATCTTATACCGCGAGCCGATGGCGCCTTCGACTGCCCACCCCACATGCATTCCGAAGCCCATTTTAATGCGGAACGCAGGTCCGAAGCGCTTGACCACCGCATCTTTGGTCAGATACTCAGTCAGCGGTCCATCCGTGTTGGCATTGTCCAGATCGATCATGCACTTGATGAACGCTGTCAGTGCGCTGTCTGCCATCTCGGTAGGCGTGACACGACGTGGTTTCGTGCCTGCACCAGCGTTCGGGGGGCACGTAATCGACTGGTTTACCTGGATGCGATCTTCTTCGGTCGGCGTATCCGTGAACCGCGAAAAGCAAGCCAACTCACCGTCACAAATTTTCCAGGACAGCAAGAAGGCATCACCGACATTCTTGTTCGCCATACCGTAGTAGTGGTGAGTGCCAGTGTGCATGATATCGCCCAACTTGTTCACATACACCATGACTTCTTCTTGCAGACACTCGGTCGTGTCGGTGAACTGACGGATATCGCAGAACCCGTAGATAGCAGTGATCTTCTTACCAGGTAGCATGGGGTCCAGGTCCCCGGAACCCATGTTTTTACCAATGATATCTGCACCCGCAGCACCAAAACCCACCTGCATAAGTCGACCGACTTTTGACAATGTGAGCTCTAGTAACGCCGTCTCGAAGCCTTGCTCCTTGGCGTTTTTACGGATCTGAGCATCGTTGCCCGATGTTTGCACGCTTGCGAGTGGGTTATCTGCAAGTTTCTTGACGACGTCCATCATACGTTCGATGGGGTCGAGCACGAGGATGCGGGAGGTTCGAATGAAAGACGTGGATGCAGCAACCAGCACGATGATGATGAAGAACGTCTTGAGAATGTTGTAGGAGGCAGACGACGAGCTTGACGACGCAGTGTCGAAGATGGCGATAGTCACACAGGCACTCGACGTGTCGGCGGAGTCGAGCACGATGAAGTCTTTGTTGAAACATCCATAGGTTTTCACGATATTAACCTCGACGTCTCGGTACTTATCCGTCACATCAGAGTACGTGGGGAGCAAGTTGGACGCCGACCAGCCATTGGACGGATTCACAGTCAAGTTGTGCGGAGCACCAGGTGAATCTTGGAACCGCAGAGCTGCAATATCCGCCATAAGCACACCAGTGGTAACGTTGGTCATTTGAATGTAGATGAGCATGCCAGCGTCTCGGACGTAGCCAAAGAGAAGACGCTCGTACTCCGTGGAGTTGGCGACGCTACCCTTGGTCATACCCGAAGATACCAGCATGTGGATGATGCGTAGACCATAATCTTGGTACCGATATTCCACCTGGGTGTAACCTCCGTCAAAGACGGGGAGAAGCATGATGAGAAAGAGCACCAGGATCACCACACGCTGCACCGTCACTTCGCCCATTTTACTACCAACTTTGCTCTCTTGTAGCTGTTCCGTCGGTTCTTTTGAGCTGTTTTTCCATTTCAGAATCTTGACTACTCGAAAGAGTCGAACAGCTCGCACAACGCGCACGATTCGTCCTGCTTTACTGCCCGCCTTGGTGGCCTTACTGGCCTTGATAGCCGAAGAACTGGTGTTGGTGCCGATGATTTGGTTCCAAATCCACCCGATATCAGGCAGGACAGAGAACGTGGCGATGAGGTCCAACATGAAGTAAAAACTCAGGATGTAGCCCGGTTTCGCGTAGCACGACGCGATGAACTCGAACGAGAACAACACGAGGCAAATGGTGGCCAGAGTGAAGAAGCCGTTGTCTGCAGGCTGCGAGAAAAGGGACAGCCGAATGTCGTCTCCGAAAAGTGCGTACACCGTCACGACGAGCATCGTAACGGTGAACCATTTGGAATCCAGCAGCCCTAGTACAGCTCGCTTACGAGCCTCACTCTGGGCCGCCTGTGCAGGCGTTTGAGCCTTGACGAACGGGAGCCTACGCACCGGACCGTTCACTGAATTGGAAGAAGGCACTTTCTTGCTGATTCCAACGTTGGTCGGGATTTTGGCCGTCAGGGTGGCATCAGGATTTGGGTTTTTCAGTGTCACCTCCGGAGACACGCGGTGGTGACCACTACCAGCGCCACCGATCATGATGCCACTCAGCTCAACCTCAGGAAAGATGCTTTGCGTTCGTTACCCAGCGACAATCGTTTATTTTTTTCTCGCCCAACGGTTCGCTACATCTAATATTGGCAACTCAACAGCAGCTGGAATTTGACAGGAGTTGTATACCGGTATATTCAAACTTGTTTGACAAGAGAACGAGTAGTTTTGCTGGATTCTCTCAGGGTTTGGACGATTAAGCAATGGGTCCCCCTGTCTATGGAAATAGGGAGTCTGTAGAGTTATACGCGGTATATAGATTATTGAAAGTCAGTGCGGTCCACCCACACCGTATACTGTAGTAGTAAATTACCCATTAAATAAATACTTTGTTGTCCGAGCACTGTCACCAGGCCTTCCGATAATACAACTGCAATGAGATTCTTGCTTTTTTGTGAAATCAGTACTTGCAGGGAAACATTTGACATTGGCAAATACGTTATTGTTTTGATACGAGCAATATCATAGAACTACTTTCAAGATACAGTGCTGGTTGGTGAATGTGACGGGGTCACACAGCACCTTGCGCTAGAGGAAGTTATCTTCCGAGAGTATACAAACTCTCAGTGAACGGCAGTTCACAGGTCCCCTCTTTTGTTAGAGAGAGCGAAGTGACCCAAATAAGGTAGATTGTACACTGAGTATATTTATAGGTAGGTTAAGTTTGGGTTTAATACAAACTGTTAGTTACCTATAGAAATGCAATGTCATTTAACCAATGGTTGGCTTTGAACGACCTTGGTACCTTGTACCAAATATCTCGGAGTATGACGTGTCATACTCCTGAAGTGTGAAGTGTCACACTTCATGTAACCAGGGTACACTTAGGGCTACGTACCCCGTTACATCCTCCCCCACTTAGGTTCGGTTTACCGACCAATCAGAATGAAGAGGTGTTCGTCACAAACTCTCATTCTCAAAGTCGAAAACCATCGACTTGGCCGCGCGAGCGCGGCGGAGGCTCACTTCACAGTTAGAGCCTCGAGCAGCAACTTGTGCGCTCTTCGTCTAGGTCTCCACTTCGACCGTTAACATACTACTAAGAGCGGTGCTAAGACACGCTCCAAGGCTGCAGCCGGTAAGGCGCAGGCCAAGAGCACTAAGCCTCACGGCAAAGGCTCTGCACTCAAGGAGGCTACTCAGGTGGCCTCCGAGGCGATCGGATCCTCGGGTGACGCGGCTGTGGACAAGCGCGCAAGCAGGCGCCGCAGCCCGTCGCCCTCGTCTTCAGACAATCGTCCGAGCCCTCGGTTCGTAGAACGTGAGTTCAACTCGGGCAGTGAAGACGATGCCGAGTCCGAGAGCACTCATGATGCTCCTGCGGGCTCTGTGGGAGGGCACAGCCCAGTGCCCAGTGAGCACAAAGAAGACAGCGTGCAGTCGCCCGCTAGTGATCACGGTGATCACAGTCCCAGGACCTCTGTGCGCTCTGAGAGTCCGGCCGTTAAGGCTAAGGGCGCTCCCAAAGCCGGTGGCGATGAGGAAGAGAATCCTCGCAAACGTCTCTCGCTTGCCGAGGGTCTTGCGCGCGCTAAGGCCTCTAAAGCCGAAGGCGCCAAGCCCTCAAAGAAGCGTGCCGCCTCTAAGTCTCCACTCCGCGAGGAGAAGGAGAATCGACGCTCCTATCAGAGTCTCTTCGGCTTCTCGGATGAAGAGGAGGAGAAGGAGGAAGAAGAGGAAGAGGAGGGTGTCATTGTTGAGCCCCGGGAGGTCTCGAATGACCTCGACCAGCAGCAGGAGGATTTCCAAGCTGCCCAGCGTGTGCGTGGGGGTTCGGTGGCGGCACCCGTCAGCCAGGGAGCTACCATCAACTCAAGAGGGTATTGGCCTCCCGAGGAGAGCTCTGGGGCTGACCTCTTCTTAGAGCTTCTCGTCGCTCCTCGTGGCCTTGTGGGCGGCCACACTTCTAGGGGCATCTATGAACGAGCCCTTGTTCAGAAAGAACAGTTGTTTGTCGACAACTTGGAGGCTGCTCGGTGTGTGCTTCTCGCGCCACACCGCATTCCCCTTAAGGACTTCACGACTTGTCGTAAGAAGCCCGAGACCCGGGGTGGTCTCTATCCTGTTTGGGGATACCCATGGGTTATGCCCGAGAACTGTCCCACGTGGAGTTCTTGTGAGGACATGTTCTGGGCGTGGGTGGAGACTCTCAAGTACTCGCCCACGGAGTTATGGGAACTCCATGAAGATCAGCAGCTGTCCCACATCCTGGACCAGCGTGATCTTCGTGTGAGGTTTGCCCACTTGATCAGTAAGCGTATGCTGCCGAGGGACATCCTGAAGCGCGCGGCTTCTAGCGCTCATGATGAGCGCGGGTACGGTATGTATTCATCGACCGTACCCCGTTCGGGCAAGAAGCCCCGGTACTTATGAAGCTGCCACCGCTTCTGTTCCCAGATTGCGACAGCCTTCGGGCAGTCAATCAGGAGCCGTTCAATCGGCTCCCACGAGTTCTCGGAGTGGGCATAACCCCTCCACTTCACGAGGAGCTGTCGCTTGCCGCGACACCGCTGCTCCTGGAGGATCCGCTCCACGTGGAAGTGGACTTCTCCATTCCGGTCAAGCAGGGGCGGAGGTGCCCTCGTACGAGTACGAGTACTCGGCGCCTCCCGAGAGCCACTCTCGTCCGAGTGCTCCGACTGCGGGTCCGACACAGGACCCTGAGGCTGACCGCCTCCGTCAACGTGTCCTCGTGCTTGAGATTGCACTTGGCCTTGGGACTGGCGGTAATGCTGCCGCCCAGGCCGGGAATCAGGGCGAGCTCGCTCGTCTTGCGGGCCGCCTGGACCTGGTGGAGCGAGAGGTCGCGAGCCTGCACCTGCGGGTGGATCGCCGGGCCTCTTCGTCCGATCTGGACGAGGCCTTTCGCATGATCCGACGGATCGAGGCTTTGTTGCCACGTCCGGAGCCGCCTGCGGCACACTCCCAGACGTACGCGTATGGTGCGTACCCGGCGTATTCAGCGTACTCGGCGTATGGTGCCGGGGTCCGTTCGTATGGAGCCCCTCCGGCGTACGGTCTTGACCTCAGCCTTGCCGTCCCGACCGAGGCTTGGGTGCCTGCTCCGACGCCCTCGTCGACGACTGTGACCGGCCCTCGCTTCGAGGAGCTGGGTCAGGGGGGAGGACTGCGAGTCAGCAACCCCCTGCGGGTCAAAGTACCGCTTAAGACGTCCGACATAGAACGTCGGGTGCGTCGTCATTGACTTTGGAAGGTCGATGGTGTACGACGCACCATGTCTGGCCAGGACTGCAAAAGGTCCGATGAAGCGGTGCTTCAGTTTGTTGCTGCCGACAGATCTAACAGTGTCTAGAGGTAGGTTCCTCGTGTCTAGCAACACTAAGTCACCAACCTCAAATATACTTAAGTTTCCTCTTCCTTGTTTGTCTGAGTACTCCTTTTGCTTATCTTGGGCCGCTGCCATGGCATCGCGGACCCTGCTGACAATGTTCAGCTTGGTATCCATAAAGGATTCCACCTGTTTCCGCAGCGAAACTGGCCTCACATCCGAGACCTGGGAGGAAAGGGCTTTCCGAGCCTCTCCCCCACTTAGAATAGAGGAGTCAGTGTCTCCTCGAAGAGTGAGAGGCACTCTGGGGTGGCGGAAGCCGTTCAAGTAGAACGGCGTGAACCCCGTGGACGCGTGCACCGCGTTGTTGAGCGCAAACCCAACAACTGGAAGCTGCGTCGACCACGTACGTGGCGCTGCCGCGCACACACTGCGCAGAGTGTCCTCGAGCACTCGATTGACGCGCTCTGTTTGGCCGTCTGTCTGCGGATGATCCGCAGTGGACATCTGCAGACGAGTTCCCAGTAAAGGAAACAGCGTTTTCCAAAACGCAGCAGTGAACCGCGGGTCTCGGTCCGAGACAATCGTCTCCGGGAGACCGTGATAGCGGAACACGCCATCGACGAACAACCTTGCGGTTTGTTCGCCCGTTACAGTGACGGGATCTGGAGCAAGATGTACCATCTTGCTCAGCCGACACACGAACACCAAAATTCCGGTGTTGACGTGTCCGTCGGCGGGAAGCCCAAAGATGAAGTCAAGACTCATCGACTTCCAACAATCAGCCGGTACGGGCAGGCTCTGTAGTGGAGCCGAAGAGTGCCCTGCGGGTTTGACCCGCTGACATGTTTCACATGTCTTGACGTATCGGGCGACCCACTTGTACATGTGGGTCCACCAGAAGGACTGAGAGACCGACAGAAAGGTCTTCTCGCGGCCCAAGTGGCCGCTGGAGGGCGCGTCATGCGCCTCCGCGAGGATGTCGAGCTTCAGATCCTCGTCGTTGGGTACAACCACCCGTGGAGGATCAGTGGGCTCCACCCGATAATAGAGGAGGCCCTCCTTCAACTCATATCGGTGGAGCCGTGAGCGCTGTCGCGACGAGAGCCAGTCGGACTTCGCGCTCGTTCCGGCCTTAAGGAACTTGACGATAGGCGCGACAGCCTCATCGTCCCGATACGCCATGCGTATCCGATCATATAGATCCGTTGTCACCCGCGTGATGTGGGCCAACTCATAGTCGGGACGCCGAGAGAGGGCGTCCGCAAGCACGTTGAGCTTGCCCGGCTTGTATTCGACGCGGAAGTTGTATTCCGCGAAGAAGGACAGCCACCTCGCCATCCTTTGGGAGAGGTGAGGCGAGTTAGTCGCCGTCCTCAAGGACGCGTGGTCTGTGTAGATCACAAAGGGCCTAGAGCCCAGAAGGTGAACACGGAAC